GTTTCCGCCGGCGGCGCGGCGGCGGGGTGCGCGTCGCGCCCATGTGCAGGCCGCCGTGCCGCGGGGCGGAGGGATGGGCCTAGCCAGCCGAGAACTGACCCCGGCCGAGCGGGGCGGGACGGACACGGCACCAGGCCAGGCGAGCACTGCCTCCCCACGACCAGCTGCCGCGCGGCCACCGCGCACCACCTGCGCCGTCCGCGCGCTCCACGCGCTCCTCGCAGTCCGCGAAAGCCCGCCGCCCCTGCCGCTCTCACCGCGCGCCGGGCGCCCACCGACGCTCGCAGCCGCCCAGGATTTGCGCCCGCAGCGACGCACACAACAACACAGCAACGCTACATGCCGCCGCGCCGCCGGCAGCTCACATAGCAGCGCCTTTCCCTATTCTTCTCCAGCGGTAGCACTCGCCGAGAGTGTTGTTCGATAAGCGTCTCAGCAGATTGAATTTGCTCGCGTGGTTGAAGTATTGTTGCGTAACAACATGGGGCTGGTTGTTCTCATAGCGAAGCTACTGGTATCGACATGGTACGCAGCTTTTGGGCGACGAGTTCACGGGCGTAGACCGACGAAGCCCTCCTGGCGACTTGACCTCGATGCGAAAAACCGAGATCCTAGTCATCAGAAGAACTACCAGGCCCATGTGGCGAGGTCAGTTGACGCTCTCGCCCGCCGTCTCGCTACTTCTTATGCTTTTTTTAACACCCCTAACGCCAACGGTTACCAAATGGACGACAGCAGCATTGTTTTCCACAGAGAGAAGAGTTACGCTTCGATGGGACGGGATTCATTTAGACCTCTGGAATGTAAAAAGTCAAGGAACGTCTCACACAAACCCGACTGAAATTCAGCTGTTGCAGTTGTAGTGGCGAGCTTTACAAGTACTACGTCTCTCACCATTACGTACCTAACACGCGCAACCCATCATTACTCCTCGCAATTTTCGCCAGCAAGCTGCTACTACCATATCTTATTATCTCCTATCTCAACCTGCGCATCTCTGACAGCCAACGCCTAATATGACCTACAGTAATTGCAATGCACTCGCGACTACCTTTCTTGCTAAAAATGCAAAGACCCGCACCTTTCACTCTGCAAATGTGAAGCTCTCTGATGATTCGCTGCTTGCTTTAAATTACGCACTGGCCGCACCCACAACTATCGCTCCATCCATTTTATTCGTGTGTTGCGCGTATTGTTCGCCGGTAGTTTTTTGTGTGCGTGAAATTGCCGAGGTGCTGGTGTAATATGGTGACTCCTGTGCCGTTGAAGCGGGGAGGGCGCTGCAGCGCGCCAGGGCTTTCCTCGCATCCCCGTGGCGGCGCACGTGCCCGGAGAAGCGACCTAGGGCCCCCAAGCGTCCATGTGGGTGGGGAGGGAAGGGCGAGGGGACCCAGCTTCTGTTCAGCTTTCGCGCACTCGTTACACGTCCGCCCAAAAAGGCGATCGAGCAGTATTTACACAAGCCAATATAAATCTCAATCCAGTACTCTCAGGGCAAGTAGACCGCGCAAAGGACTCTGGCTTTTCAAAACGATATGAGCGTCCACCGCCTTACTGGCCGTGACACTCCAATCTGCAACATGGCATGCACGAGGAATACGACGTTCTTACGAATTTGCCCGTTCGTTCAGTTTAAAAATAATTATAATCTGAAACTATTGTTATGAACTAAATATTTGCAAGTCTTGCTTCCTGCTTGTTGATAACATGGTGCCGTCGTGCTCGAGGTGAACGTCGCAGGTAATGGCAAAATGCTGCGCCGAGCGGTGATTCTTGTAAATATTCACGACGCTGTTTTCCATAAGATTACTTGTCTGGTGTGAACGTCTTGGATCACATAATCTCACCCGTATCGTATTAAAAAGTGATGATTTGCACTTGGCGCCAGATTCTGTAGAAACCAGACTTGAAATTGCATGAATTGGCCAGAAAATGTCCTTGCCGTAGGTGGGCCTGATACCATCTTCATATTTATTCTTTACTGCTCATTTTACGCTTCACCGATTTGTTTTCACTAACTAATCTTTAAAGTTAATGGTTAAATCTTCTTAATATAATTTTTTTCAATGTATAATTTGTTGTTTGTACTTTAGATAGCCGTGTTTAATCTCCGAACTCGTAGAAAGACTAAAGAATCGAGCAAACTAAATTCATGACCCAATCATAGACTTCTCCTTTAACTGCCGTC